ACCTTCTTCAAGATGCACTGGAACAGCTGAGACACTAGGGGAGAGAGTTGACTTCTCTTTGGAGGATCTTATCCCGGTGGCCCGGTCCTGAAGGTTAGGCATGATGCATTTCAGAAAACAAGTTCTCACACATGCAGTGGAGCTGAATTCTGCCTCAGCATGACACTTTACCAGGTCATGCACTTCCAAGATCTCATGCCAATGGCCCCTCCACTGCACTCCACTGCAAGTTAACACCACACAACCGCAGTGAGAAGATAGATACAGAATAGTAGTTTAGCCTAGTTTACAGTCATAACGTCATACATGGACTGAATCTGCCCCCAAAACACATAAAAGCAACATAAAGAACATAGGCAGAGAGCCCAATTTATTACGTGGTGAACTTCAGTGGAAGCAGTCGTGAACGCCCTCTTTTTACAGGGCGCATATTTGCGGGTTCATGCGGCTGACTGAGCATCATGCAAATTTCCGTGTGTGGATCCACTAGGATGAGATGTTGAACATGGTGAGCCCTGTTCAATGGCTGCACCTGTGTTAGTAAAAATAGAATTATAAAACAATTACCATCATCTTTTAGCACTCAATTTCTCAGCTCCTCTCTCCACTGGAATTTGATCTAATTGTGCTCAAATTGACATGTTTACAGGGAGGCTTTAATGGTTCCACTGCTGGTGGTTTCATGTATCCTTCATCATTACTGTAAAATTCACTTGAGAGCATTGCAGATAGCACTGTGGGGTTTTATTCTCTGCCATCATTCGTACGCTCAGTTTCCCATTACAGAACCATTATCCCCAAAGTACTGAGCCTATTCCGTGAGGAACTGAGTGTTTTAACTGACATTTAAGACCAAAGTCCAAATGAGTTTTCTATTTTTTTTTTTTTGGAAACAACTGTAGAAGAACAGTTTTCTGGAGATGTAAGACTTTTCTGTTTGAGTACAAAGTTTACTACTATTGGTGTTGGCCATGAATGGTCTTAATCCAAGTTATTATCTCAGAGCAATTCTTGCCAGAGACATTTGTTGTCCTTGTATGGGCACATGTAGTAAAAACCTTAACAAAAAAAGAATGTGTCAACCTTTCTTCATGGTAATGATACATGAATTAAGGATGTTCCTGAAACAGGTTTAACAGCATTGTAAATAACAGAAATTATGACACCAACATGGCAAAATGTAGCAAAATGCAACACCAAAGTAGTTAATACTTGGTTTATATATATGTAAATCCTAAATTTAATCCTACATTTGCCATTATGGGACTCGATCATCTTTCATAAGATTCTCCCCTGCCAATGTCTTTTAAAATTAAAGCCCCCTGTTCCTAACACAGCCTTCAAAAAAAAAATTAAAAATCCAATATTACACTCTGGACCAGCATTGGACCGATCTATCAGCAGTCATCCCTAGAGCAAGGCCCCTGGCATTGCTACGTGTCGAATGTAAACAGAGGAGTATGTGTGTGTGTGTGTGTGTGTGTGTG